CAGCACCTACCCGTGCACTGCCGAACACCTGGCATTTTCCGGGGCAATACGATCTGCTCCCGGGAACAACACGGAACGAGCACCAGAGGCGTAGTTGTTCAGTTTGCAAAAAGCGAACATCAAGCTTTTGCAAAGCCTGCAACGTGCCCCTGTGTGTGTTTGGTTGCTTTGAGTCATATCACACTTCACAGTAAACTACACAAAAACACTGTCTTACACACAAGGTATTTAGGCACTAGTATTGAAGGTCTATCTGAAAAACACTTGTACTTGAGCACACAGTCCACCTGATGGTAAGTGGATACATCGTCACCCCTGAGGACTAAGATGGAATGCCTCCTTTTCAGTAAAAAGGGTATGCCGCTATTTTAATGGGAAGGTTAAAGTAGGTAGGTGTTACCATCCAAGGAAAAAGAAATAAATGCGTCTACTTCCCCACCTTCACCCTCATCCTCCGATGCCGCGAACATTTGTACCACCCTGGGGACTATGGTGGATTGGAGTCCAATTTCTTCTTCGCCATCTTCTTCGGAGTCCTCGTCGCTGCCTGTAAAATATAAGATAAAATAACCACTTTGGCCGACTGTAATAATTTACGTTTTTTTTAAAATAATCTGTTACATAAGTAGTAACTTAATACAGTCAATTATTCTAAAAATAATTGACTGTATTAAGTTACTACTTATGTAACAGAATCAGTAACATGAGAGCTGATGTTTATAGAACACAGTACGGGTTTTATTTGTATTTTTATTAGCAGCTAAAGCAAAACTATTTTCCCTTACCATAATTAAGGGCGTTGGATATTTCAATATCCCTTAGAGGACGCGACGAAGATGACGAGGAAGTAATTCTAAAAGAAGAAAATAAATTATTAAGAATCAAAATATTAAGTAGACACTTCTGCACATAGAATATATATTTATTAATAGGCACTCACAGACGCCGTTTAGCCCCCATGTCATTGTGGTCCGATCTGAAAAAATAATGTTGTTTTTTGATTTCTATCGTAATAGTTATATTCGAACAGTTAACAGTTCAAAGTCAAATACTATCAATATTTAATAAAGCAATAAAGCAAAAACTTACGCATTTCGCTTTCGGGACGTTGGAGTCCGATTAGGTGTGGAGGTTCCACTCCCTCCAACTTCAACGTGTCTGTAAAACATAAATAGTGTTAAAAATACGTTATTTTATGACCAGTTACGAAAAGTTTAGCTTCAAAATATGAATATAAGTAAAAACTTACAAAGCAGGTGAAGGAACTGAGCAAAGCTCCATATCAACTACTGCTGGTTGGGCCGCTGCAGCTCGGTCCTCCTGAGGGCTCAGCGGCTGGGTCGGGTGGTTGCCGGTGAGGAGGTCCATGGACGACCACAACGACACCGGCACGGGACTAAAAAGAAAGTTAAATTCAATGCCCTGCACGTGAATCGAGTAACAAAACCAACTTCGAAGTGCTTACCCTCGCCTTGCGGCAGGCAGTACTCGAGGTCGCCGCTGAGTCAGCGGCCGCTCTAGAGGCCTCCCCACCGGCAACTCCCCCACCATGCCACAGTAAACTCTAAAATATTAATGCAGAATATTAATGTTGCTAAAAAAAAACGAAGAAACTTGTTAGTTGTTAAATTTGTTATTACGGATCAACAGCAGAAGGCCTTTCGGTGTGGCCAGCACCGCTAGTGGGCCCACCACGCGTCCGGGCACCACCAGTGTGCGCATGCGCCCCTTCACCACCAGTGTGCGCATGCGCCCCTTCACCACCAGTGTGCGCATGCGCCCCTTCACCACCAGTGTGCGCATGCGCCCCTTCACCACCAGTGTGCGCATGCGCCCCTTCACCACCAGCGTACGCACCACGCCCACGCCCACGGCCACGAGCACGACCACGTCCACCTCTTTAAAGAAAAAAGCAAAAACAAAAAGCATGCAAACCAAAGAGAAAATAAACACAAAAATGCAAGAGATACGCGAGACATGAATGCAAAAGGTGCCCTTAGAGCTAATTTAGTAATGTCCATGCGTAACTTTTTTAACTTACTATAAGACGTCTAGAAAATATGTAAATATTATTTTTGGAGAAATTTTTTGAAAAAAAAATTGGTTGTCAAAGTTAAAAATAAAATTATTTATTTTTAAATTTATCATCGTGCAACAAACACTTTTTGTCCCAAACAATTTTGGGCTTGGACGCTCTTCAAATGCCTTTATCTCGGCCCAGGTTCGTCTAAGTCCAAAATTGTTCAGGAAAAAATTGTTTGTTTGGGTGCCCCCCCGACACGACGCAAACGAAGAAAAAAGAAAAAAGAAACAAAAATGCTGTATTTTTATCTTGGTACCTACTTGGTACTTCAAATACCTAAATATCTTTGCTCAGGTTCATCCAAGCCCAAAACTTTTTACGACAAAAAGTGTTAGTATATGCGCCCTCTACATGATGCAAACATAAAAAATAAAAAATTACAAAAATTCTGCTAAGTTTTTTCGCTCCCATATTTTATATTTATTTATTTTATTTATTTAATATTCTTTATTGCACACCATACAAAGCATACAGAAATGACATACTACAAAAAAGTATGCAACTTCCACTATATCTCCACAGTAACTAAATGTTTATGCAATTAAAAGTGATGTAACATTACATGCAAAATATTTAAAAATAACTTCAAACAGAAAATACAAAAGCGTATCTATAATTTCTAGCATGCCCGACATGCCGCCGTTATGACGTCATCAACTGCCAAAACCCTGTCTGTGCCCCTGCCGACTGACGGTAAAGAAATAACCTTCACGTATTTAGACCCAAAATTAAAGTTTTCAAAGCTAAATACACGTTTACCATTGTCATCCATTGCAAATTAATTACATTAGTAGCTTAAATTCTCCAAAACATTACGGTTTCATTCACTTTTTAGACCAAATATTGCAGAAATAAAAGTACGTTCATAGTTCGTTAGACGGCTATGTCGTTGGTTTGGCCTGGTTTTTACAATTAAATTAGCAAAATTATATGTTTCCCAGTAATAAAAATGTGAAAGTACTTACCTTTCCATGGTTTCTCCTTCAAATCACAACAAATTTGATTCAAGAAAACTTATCAAAGGCGTGACAAAACCGGAGTCGGTTGGTTTGACAGCGTCCAATTTGAAGTGCCGATATTTTTTTTTTACGGAGCAAAGAGTAACAGTAAAGCAGTTTGACACTGAGTATATATTATTAGTCTATGATTTCAAGTGTCGCACCTAAAAAACGCATCGTAGTTCCGTCGTAAAGAGCGCGAAAACATAAACAGGAAACGATGCCGACTGCTGGTCGGCTCACAGACGCGCAAATAATTTGACGTGCCGACTGCTGGTCGACGCACAGACAAGGGGATAATAGAACGTTTTTTTTACACACGAATCTTTTTATTACTATTTTTGGGATTTTGTGGCGCCATTAAACAAATTCGAACCTACATTTCAAAATAATAATCATGACTTTCGATAGAATTAACCAATTTCAATAAAACAAAGATTAAATGAACTTGATAATACGCTTTATGATTTTCTTAAGGATTTCATTGAAAAAAAAAAGATGTTTACTCAAAACGTCATGCGTCCATAAACAAACAGACAGACCGTCAGATAGTACAATTCTAAAAATTATAAAAATGTACTTATTTAATGATTTACAGTCCCAATAATGATTTTAGTCGCAAATTAATATACTATACAATATTCAGAAACAGACATAACATGTTATTACCATTTTTATTATATGTATAGATTTAAGAGAGATGGCGCTGTTTACATCAATTCTAAAAATAAGAGATTAATTCACACGATTGATACAATAAAAAACATAAAAGAACTTATAAATCAGTGCCTGCATAGTAAGCAAAAAAGAAAGTTTGATCCTCGCCGAAAAATGAAATTGTTAATAGCTCTTAAAATTTTATTTACCACATAGAGTACTCGGCGGTAAAAAAATAAAAAATAAATGAGATTGTCAACACGCAGTAGGGCAGCGTGTCATTAATATAAAGGTTAGAAGCAAATATGAAACTCAACTACAGGAATAAATTTTAACCTGCCTTTTTGTATCACATTTATGCCACACCACCATCTATCGAAGAAATGGGTTAACTATTGTGCTTCAGATTTAGTTAATAAGGTTAATATATTTTTGTATAATATATTTAATACGTTCTTTAATACTTTTGTTTACTGCGTTTTAGATATACATAATTATATCATTATTTTACATAATTTAACTATGATTTATGATATGATATTAGTTTAAAATGCACTTGATGACTCAAACAAAGCCACCGTTGAGCACATTCGTACCTATACTTCCCTACCCATACTTCAGAATATTTATCATAACTTTTGATGGAATGAACTGATTTTAATGAAATAAAGACTAAATGTAACCCGAAGATACACTTTATAATTTCCTTAACAATTCTTATGATATAAATTAGTACTTTATACGTGATACGTTAACAAACAAACAGACAGACAGACAGACAGACAGACAGACAGAAAATTCTAAAAATGGTAGAAATGTATTTAATTACTTATTTTTAGTACCCCTCAATCACTTTTATTACAAAAATATAAAATGTACAGCCATCTGCTATTTACAGTTTTATTATATGTATAGACAATACTAAAAATTATGTGTGAAATTTAAGTTAGAATATAGAAATAAATAAGAAAGTAGAAATTGATAAATTTGGTTTTACTTGAACAATATTTTATTTTGTCAATATTTAAAAGAAATAATACAATTTATGAAGACACCGTTAAGATAGTTTATTGTGCAAACATTACATTATCAATAAACTCCTCTTACTTATCTACTTACATAATATGTTAATAGTTTTGTTTTCAATTAAAGATTAACCTAATTAACTATTAATGTAACAATGTTGAATGACGAAGATTAGTTCAATTTAACTGCCACTGTTCAATTATGATAATATTTGTTAGTCAAATGATTGTAAATAGTTATATGTCTTTGAAAAAGGCATTGGCAGGTAAAAACTTCGCAGCTGCTCTTATATTATGAACGACGGTTACGTATGCTTTTTCTACTAATTTACAAATGGTTTTTTCTCGAAATTCTTTCTGTTTCTTGATATTTTTGGATTGCCATTCCTTAGAACTTTCTTCTGTAAAACGGAAAATTAAAGCCATATTAAGTTTTATCTATTTTAATTTCCATTGGAAAGTAATTATTTTTCAATTCATAAATATTAAATTCAAGCTAATAGCATTTTTCTAGGAGATAGGTAAACTAAAAACAAAGTTCTTGAAAATTACCTTTCTGCAATGATTGAAGAAGATCGTCACTTATTGAAACTTCAGGCTCGCCTACAATTTCACAACTTATTCTTTCTGGGAGCACTTTAAAATGCTGAACTCCTTTACTATCAGTGGTCAAATCGTATTCATAATTAGCGGTTGCTAAAGTAGCTGAAATATGATAACGTTATTAATTAATGTATTGGATACGGGTCGCAAGTAAATAGATCATATAATCGAACACTGTTGGACATAAAAATTAAACAAATTCTTCCTTTTGAAAAAGGAAGAATTTGGCATAATCATAATGATTTCTTATATTTACAAGAACGCTACACATTCAAATAATTTTATTTAAATTGGCATAATCAGTTCGCCTCAAATTCCAATCCGCAATACACTCGAATTTGTAAACGTATTACCAACGTCATGAAAACTTTTCATTGGTGTCATCTTTTCAGAGCATTTTAGTACGACAATACAATACAATACCAGTTGAACCAAGAGTGAACAATTTTCTCTCAAACCTTAACACCACTTAATGTAATATTTAAGAGACAGTATTATTTCAAAGATTGCTGCAAGAGGATCAATATATTGATCGGTAGCGGGGGCAGCCACAAAGGTTATTTAAGTGCTGCGAGCCCCAATTTGTCTACAATCATCATCATCATCATTGCAGCCCATCACAAGTCCACTGCTGAACATAGGCGAAGTGTAGGGCGTCCCCCAACTAGATGGCGTGACGACCTGGTAAGACATGCAAGAAGTCAATGGATTTGTCTACAAAGCTTAGTAATAATTATGATAAATGTTTTCAATTCAGAATAAATCTGTAACTAGGCAAGGATTGTTTTAGAGCAAGTGATGTTAAGTATATAAAGAATACAAATGAATAATTTTTATTCAATATAGATTAAAATAATTCTTACTGAAAGCACATAATAAATAATGGTACTACGTACTGAAAGTCAGTTTTTACTTTGACCACTGGTTCGGTAAAAATCTCTGTTCTGGAAAAAAGTAGCATAAACGAAGCGGGACTATTTTCTCACACTAACATTATACAATAAAAAATAGGTTGTACAATATTCATAAGAAATAACTTGGAAGTGATTACCTCGTTCCCAGGGGTTATTTTCAACCATGTTATCATTTCTAATATAAAACCCTTTCTATAAAGTCTTTGTTTAATAAAAACTTTAAAATTTGTAGTAGGAATTAAAAGACATTGTATATTTTCTACGATTTTGTTTTAATAGCGTATACATTGACCCCTTGTATGAAGTACTGACTTTGTAGAGTCAAGTAACTGATGTTTTGTGTCCCTTTCCGGTGTTTACACAATATATATATATATATCCCTTTTTTCTATTAAAACTACTTTTGTTTTAGCGAACATACTTTAAATTTTCTTAAATATACTGAGAAGCCAAAATTAATATACTTATTTATAAACATTTTTCGCTGAGAGACTTTCGGAGATGGAATGTTAATAATCTTAAATATAACCGTCTTCTAAATACCCATAACAAACTCCCATAAGAGATTATGCCATGGTAATTATTGAAATAAACTAATCTAGCTATCACAATACAGCTGACACTTATATTATTTTTTATAGCATAAGCCATAAAACTTAGTATGCTTGCTAGTTTGGATATATGGAGGCCTCATTGCAGCTTTGCCTCGAGAGTAGTGCCAAGAAAAACAGTGGAATCGATAGGGTTCTTCAGTTCTTCCCCATTTAAAACACATTGGTACTCAGATTATTTTAGCAACGTAGATTTCATACATTTAATTTTATTTTCGTTTATTATGTAGATCATTAATGTCAAATCAATGCATTAAATATGATTTAGCATTACTCACTTGATCATGTATAAATAATTGTCTTTTAAGTATGAAAATGAAGGAAGTATCATCAGCAAATAATACTATATCGTTATTATCCCCTACAAGAGATGGTTAGACATTATTGAAGACTAGAAATAGGAATGGGCCGAGAATTGGCTCCTAAGGAACATACATTAGTATAGGTGACCCGGAAGAACCCTTGATAAATAATTTAAGTTTAAAATAATAAGTTTACGCGCTACGGTTTTGAAAATAGGGATGTAGAGTTTCTTGATTAATGTCTTATGCTGAACACACTCGAAGACCCATTGACAAATGAAATTGATTTTTATGACAAAATTTATATATATTTATTCTATTTTTTTATTTTACTATTTATTCCATCATCTGTGGTACCCATCGGCGGCAGATCTCAGCCTTGGTTTGGTCGCTCCTGTAAGACTGCATTACGTAGTAAGCAGGAGTGTTATCAAGCCTGGGCTGCGGCTTCGGCGACTCGGGATGTAAGCACCAGTACACTTAAAAAGAAGTATAACTTCGCCTCCAGGTCCTTCAAAAGAGTTATTGCCAAGGCAAAGTAAGAGCACAGAAGCATTTGACGAGAAACTAGTTCACCTTCCTTCGGGAACCCGTGCATTCTGGTCTCTCGCCAAGGCTGTCCAAGGGAATTTCTGTAAGCCATCACTACCATCTCTGCACAGGGAGGACGACTCACTGGCCCATGCCGCAAAAGACAAAGCCGACCTTTTAGGCTCCCTTTTTGCGTCCAACTCGATGACGGGGGGGGGGGACACCGCCGACCATCCCGCGGTGTGAGTGCTCCATGCCGGATGTGCTGTTCACAGCGCACGGTTCTCAAAGCACTCCTCTCCCTGGACATCCAGAAGTGGGGCTGACGGAATCCCCCCAATTGTGCTGAGGACGTGTGCTCCGGAGTAGGCACCGGTCCTAACGCGTCTTTTTACTCCCAACGTAGGCATAGTCCCGAATTCATGGAAGACAGCTTTTGTACACCCGATCCCTAAAAAAGGCGACCGCTCAGACCCATCCAACTATAGGCCTATCGCCATCACCCCCTTGTTCTTTAAAATAATGCAATCCATTATTAACTGCCAGCTCATGCGGTACCTTGAGGATCACCAGCTGATTAGTAACCGCCAATACGGTTTTCGTCGGGGTCGATCCGCTGGTGATCTTCTGATCTACCTGACCCATAGATGGGCGGAGGCAGTAGAGTCCAAGGGGGAGGCGTTAGCCGTTAGTTTGGACATTGCGAAGGCCTTTGATCGGGTTTGGCACAAAGCGCTTCTTTCGAAGCTCCCTTCCTATGGGTTTCCCGAGAAATTGTGCAATTGGATCACCAGCTTCCTTGCAGATCGGTGCATCAAGGTCATTGTAGACGGTGCATGCTCCGACTACAAGCCTATTAACGCTGGTGTTCCACAAGGCTGTGTGCTATCACCAACGCTGTTTTTTCTGCATATCAATGATATGTTGCTAACTGGTAACATTCATTGCTATGCGGATGACAGCACTGGTGATGCTCTATACACCGGCCGTGCCAATATTTCTCGGGAAAACGTCGCCGAGTACCGGAACAAACTTGTGTCTGAAGTCGAGTCTTTGCTGTACAAAATCTCGGATTGGGGGCGACTAAATCTAGTCCAGTTTAATCCTCAGAAGACACAAGTTTGCGCGTTTACCGCTAAAAAGAACCCCTTTGTCGTATCTCCTCAGTTTCAAGGCACTTCCCTTCTTGCTTCAGCCAGTATCAGATTTCTCGGAGTCGACATATCGAGTGACGTGCAGTTTCGTGGTCGCTTGGAAGAAAAGGCCAAAGTGGCCTCTAAAAAGCTTGGCGTGCTCAGCAGAGCGGGGCAGTATTTCATGCCGGACGGTGTGCGGGCCTGCAACTTTACAAGCGCAGGTTCGGCCTCACATGGAATACTGTTCCCATCTCGGGGCAGGGGCTCCCCAGTGCCAGCTCCTTCCACTTGACCGCATCCAGCGCAGAACGGCTCGAATCGTCGACGACCGAGTCCTTTCCGATCGGCTCGAATCATTGGCACTGCGAAGAGATGTTGCTTGCCTTTGCATTTTCTTTCGTATCTACCACGGGGAGTGCTCTGAGGAATTGTTCGGATTAATCCCAGCCGCCAAATATCATGAACGCACATCGAGGCAGAACTCCCGATACCATCCACACCATCTGGATGATTGGCGGTCCACCACTGTGCGATTTAGAAGATATTTTCTTCCTCGCACGACTTTCTTGTGGAATCGATTACCATCAGCGATTTCTTTTGACCGATATGACTTAGGGACCTTCAAGAAAAGAGCCTACTCCTTTTTAAAAGGCCGGCAACGCATCTGCAATTCCCTCCCTGGTGTTGCAGTTGTTCATGGGCGGCGGTAGTCACTTACCATCAGGTGAGCCGCATGATCGTTTGACCCGTCTTCTAATAAAAAAAAGTATTTAAAAAAAAACTTAAAATCTTAAATAGTACAAAAATTGGTCTCAAAATGACGGGATCGCCTGTACTACCAGATTTCAATAAAGGTACGACTTTACTATTTTTCATTAAATTAGACTTTGACGCTTGTATTAAAAATAGCAATTTATCTATTATTGACGTAACACTTTCTCAACATAAATAGTTTTATACGGCATATTTTCTTAATAATATACGGAATTTAAAGGTTTCGAACAAGCATCTATATTTTGCTTAAATAATTGGTACGGAATTCAATGATTTTGTTGTCAAACAAGGAATATCAGTGAACTGTTTCTCAAAAGCCGCAGTAACTTTAGAGTCAAATTAATGTTAATATTCCATTGAAACTTAGTTAACTAACTAAACTAGTTTCACAGCCTTACCGTTTCACTATTAATTATATTCTACGTCCTTTTAATTTCATTGGATTCAACTTAAATTTTGTGGCTTCACATTTATAAAATGTTATCTCTACAGATGGCACTACAGGTGTAGATTTTAGGAATAATTTCACAAGATTGTATGATCTATAAAATGGTTTCAATTGGGTTGGTTGAATGAGAAAGGTAAGAGTTAAAGATTTTAACAAAACTTAAAAATTTCTACACACACAAACACACACACACACACACATATATATACGAATTTGCAATATAATACCATATATGTGTTAAGGCAATCGAGTAGAAGTAATTTTGTAAATAGAATTTTAAATTAACGGAGAATCAACGATGCAGATTTAGAAGCGGGTTCTTACTTGCTTTAGCAGAATACATTCCAGAAAACGGTTTTGACATTTTAGATGATTCAATAGTTATTTCTCCTACAATATTCAAATCTACGTTCAATTTCAGGAGCACAGATTTCGTTGCTTTGTCCATTCTGAAAAAAAACATATTTAATTAAAATAAAGAGTACAGTTCTATCAAAATTACACAACATGTGTTAACTGTGACTTACTGGAAATCTGATATTTTCTGGTTTTTAAGTCCAGTGATCCGTAAGTTTTTAAAATGCAGCGAAATACTCCCATCATCAGTAAGCTTATGGACCAAAGATGGTATCTCCAAAGGGTCAATGGCTCTTATATCGTACTCTGGAATACCTTTACAGGTTTTTTCTAAAAACTGTTCAGTTGACTTGCTTAAACACTCGATATCTTTAATCTCGCACGATCTTAAAAGTGAATCTGTCAACAAATATATTCAAGATAAATCCCTTGGTGTAATCATTCTATTTAAAGCACATTTATATTAAAGTTTGTTTAAACTGAAAAAGGCAAACAAACCTAACCTCTTTTGAAACTTATAGGAAACTAGATCACTTAACATTTTTAAATCAGAATCTTTCGTAAAAATATGCTTTATATAAAATGAAAGTGTAAGGTAATTTAAAAAAAAAAATCTATATATGTCCCACAAGATGCTAGAAGTTATACTTAAATATGTCTCATTTCCGAAAAGCGTAATGGAGCAATTAGTTTACCGCGCGGTTTCAGTGTGTGATTTCGGACTTCAGCTCCCCTCAAAATATGTTATTGGTTAGACAATAATGTATTTCCGTCAGATTATAATTTGGGTGTCTTCAAGACCAGAATGAATAGGCTTTTGTTGAGCTAAGTCAGTGCGCTTTGGCATCTTCGACTGTATCACCACTTACCGTCAGGGGATAGTAGTCAAGCACTGGCTTATAATAGTTAAAAATAATATACACGTTTTCTAGCGATGGTTTCCTTCACAGCAATTAAAGTGCCGCCGGCGATCGAACCTGGGTTGTTTGTGTACTGTGTTTACGGTAAACGCTTAGCCCTTAAGCAATTAAAATTTATGTAAGTTAGTAATTAAAAAAACTCTCTTAAAGTAAAATAAATAAAATAAAAATAAAACATAATTATTTTTTATATTTAAGCGAACACCTCACATAGAATAAAACTAATTTTATGGATTTTATCGCGTTTAATTTTAACTTTTTTAATTCCAGACTTTTCGGACACTACAGCACCCATGTTCATGGTCAAGTACGTAGAAACAGATTAAAACAGACCTACAACTATTGCTTAAATAACTGGCGATCTAATAAATAAATGCTCAAAAAAGTTAAATCTGGACGTAAATTAGACAATACTATTATGTACCAAATTATCGAAGTTGTATGGGTTAACCAAAATACACAAACCGAACGCTTCAATACGTACAATAGTAAGCTAAATGGATTCACTGACTTATAAATTTGCTCAACATTTAGCAAAATACTGTTACTGCGGAGAGAACACAAAAGATCACGTACAAAGCATTCATACCGTTTTGTCAGCGAGATAAAATATCTACATCTTACAATGAAACATCTGACAATGAAATTTTCGTCAGTTTTGTTATTCACTCACTATTTACACGCTTATCTATTGAATACTGCATCTCAATTGTGACTAGGAAGCTATAAGAAAACTATGTGCCCACAGAACATGCAGTATTATTCAGACTTTGCCTCACAACTGGCTATTTATTGTGGTAGGAGGGGTTCTACAAGCAAGTAGATAGTGTGGCGATGGCCACCGATATATTCATGGGGGACTTTGAACAAGCGGTACATAGACAACACTTTCACAATTTCACCATCAGACAAAGTTACTTAATAACTCCATAAACTCTAAGAGTTAAAGGCAAATAATGCTTTAGCTTTCCTAGTTGTTTTAGTCATTCAAAGTACTAATAACACCATCAGCCATACATACTACTTGTACTATGATTAGGCATTTCTTACCATCTGTTAACTGTATTCACTTTGCAAGATGCAGGAGTGTACAAGCTTGATTGTGAATGTGGTGTCTCCTAAATGAGACATACCTAAAGATTACCCGCGTGCAAGAACAACGAACGCGAAGCACCAACGTTCCGGGAATTCAGCAGTATGTCAACATTAAAAGATGCGCTGCAGTCTGCTAGGGATCACATAATTAATAAAAATAAATGAAAACCCAAGACTCTGGAAGTTGTTTGTTGGAAGACTTTAAGATACTGTAAGCAGGTTCGGCGTTTATTGGACCTAAAATTAATCATTAAAAGTTGAAGGTATCTTTAACTATGATATCTGTATGTGTAAAATTAGTCTTCTTCCTTAAAAAAAGAAACTTTTAAATTAACAAGATTTCAAGTTCAACCATATGATAGAGCTATATCTAGAGTGTTTCAACGAACATTAATTCATATTATCAATTGCTAATAAAGAGGTCAACAGTCAATGTCTCTTAGAAGAACGATTTGCTCAATGTATGACACATTGAATTTGTTATGTCCCGTTGCGTGTCCCATGCAGGTAGAGAGATATATATATATACACAGACACATTCTTAAAATGTAAAAAAAATATAAAATATTTCAAAGTAAATGGAAGAAAAATAATGACATAATATTATCGGCATTCAATATGAGTAGAATTTCTCATAATTACCACGTTTGATGGATTGGCAATTTTAGTAAAAAATACCTAGCACCCTTAACGCTGTTATGCGTTGCTGGTCTAAATGTCATACAGTATATTTTATGTCAGACACATATGAGGCTGCTGTGTAGTGTCCTGCCTAAGAATATCCATTACCTCCTGTACCACTGCCTTGGCATGGATATCGTAAGAGGCGAAAGAGGTAAACTGAATCAGAAGATGGGCAGCAGCATGTTCCTGTTAACAACTAGAAATTAAAAATAAAACTGCGCTTATCAACCAGTCTGCCAAGCGTGGCAATAATTGTGAAATCCCCCTCTTAGGCAATCTGTGGTCGAAACCTTTGTACAGAAGTAAGTTTTTGATAGGATTTTTCTTTTTTTATAAAATAATGGTGACAAACGAGCACACAGTCCACCTGATGGTAAGTGGTTGCTGTGGCCCATAGACATCTACATCTATCATCGTTTGCGAATTAAAATGCAGATGCGTTGTCAGCCGTGAGGACTAAGATAGAATGCCTCTGTTCCAGTAAAAAGGGTCTCCAGTTCTCTACACTCACCATACGAAACACAGCAGCATTAAGCTGCTATTTTACGCTGGTATTCTGTCAGAGCTTGGTCCTACCCCGGTCGAGCCGAATTTTAAATCTATTATTATAACTTCCTCCCCACCGAATTTCATTCACTACGGCCACTCTACAGCTACACAATATAAAAAAATATTTTTAGTATGTAGCTGTAGAGTACTATGATTATTTATTTTCGAGAACTTTCGAGCACACAGTTCATTTCTGATGTTAAGAGGACGTTGAGGCTTATAAAAGTCTACATCTATCCTCGATACTAAGATGTTTCTTAGACAGTTAAAAAAGATCTCCGGTTCTTTACATTCGCCATACGAAACAGCAGCATTAAGCTGCTATCTTTTGCTGGTATTCCCTGAGAGCTTGCTATTTAGAGGTCGAACCGGCCCATTCGAGAGAACGACCAACAGTATCCGTAATATATAATCTACCACATGACAAACTAATTGTAAAAATATGCTTACATGCTGCTTATAATATAAAAAATATTCAATACTCTACCTTCATCGGAAAACGCACTAGTTGAAAGCACGAGCAGTAAAAACACCCGAAAAATAATCATTTTGTTCACGTTGAAACTGTCGATTGTTGACTACTAACTAAATCTTCTCCGTCTATTTATCTGGCGGGCATAACATACACATTATATCAGTACAAATAAAAATTATAACGAGTAAAAGGAAAGATTGGGAATACATAGGTCAAAAATTATCAGCACTGCATACAAGAAGTGCCCGACTCGTGCTAAATATAAGGAACGATAAATATGTACGTCCGTGAGTATTGTATTAAATAGATAATTAAATCATAATACGCTTGCAAGATAATTATCTTTTATAGCAATAGAATAAGACAAGATATGTTTGTTTTTATATAAATTTCACTAAATAAACTATATTTTAATTTTTATATTATGTTAATGTGACGGCTCATTATTATTATTATTAAATTATAATTAAATTCAATAAAGAGCCATTTAAAATATCATATGTATTTATTTGAACAATTAATATGCGTTAATAAGCATAAAGTTTAAATATATTCACTTCGAATATTAAGTGTATATATAGTAGATATAGTATATGATAAATATTGTCTAAAAAAACCTTAAAATTTATTAAAACTGTGCTTAAAATATTCAAAATAGAATAAATAATAGAAGAACAAGACGATTATATTGCAATAATAAAGATAAATAATATTTGTAATATTATTGAAAAATGAGTCAAAACTTTTTTTAATTTTATAAGGGTGTTCTTGTATTATCGGTGGGTGTTTATGTAATGATTGCTTATATGTAGGCGTAGTCGGAGATACATACTCATGGTTGTACATATATATGGGGTAGTCAGCTGACATTGTATAGTCCTATATTAGGGACTTATGATAGTAAGGTCTATGACACAAAAGCATTAATATAGATCTCTATGATGCATAAGCATTATGACAGCAGAGCTATGACTTGAAATCCCATATGTATAAGACATATAATATTGTATGAAATAAAGCCAATATGTGGAAGGTCTCAAATATGTAAAAGCATTATATTGAAAGAAATAGGACTTGAAAAGGATTATTATAGTGGCGTGTAGATTGCTTCACAGCTTCCGAGACCGAGGTAAGCTTGGACGTGCTAACTGGTGTGTCCTAGACATATCATCTTAGTGCCGGTGGTAAGCGGGTTTGTTGTAGCAATACGAGTTGCCCGTGGACATCGTACACCCCTACCATTTTAGGGCAGCGTCTTAGCGCATAGCGTTATGATACGTCGGCTATCTTTCGGATTAGAGTGAGTGTCTTTGGTAGTATTTTTAAGTGCAGCAAGCATACTCAACTCCATGTCTTAGTGCAATAGCGCTATGATAAGTGGAGTTTTGGCTACTGACGTCTTAGTAGCGTACTGTTATGATATGTTTGGGGGTATTATTAGTTAACAAAAATACCGATTTTGTTACCAAAGTAGATAGGGATCATGTGGGTGTGTTGTGAGTGGGCTCCATCCGTATGATAGTTGCATTGATGCTTACTGCTACTTGCGGTATTGTGTCTTGTGATGGATCTGCGGGTGTGCTGCGCCTGATTCGACGCATATTGTGGTTCTGGTCAATGGAGGTATGCGGTTGGTGTGTCTGCTGGGATTGTACCTTGGGATGGAGTAAGCGTATTAATGATTGTTGCGTTCTGCAGCATTGCGTCTTTGCGATGGTTGTTTGGCGGGTCGCTATACTCAATGGCGCTCTCTGCTCCTTGGTTTGACTCACAACCTAAGTAGCTTTGCTCAAGTTAGGTCCCTTCATTACAGGACTGCAGTCTGTTTGACCTCCACGATGTTTCATATAACAAGATAGTAATATATCTCTATAAATTTCCCACCATTGAATGATTGACAGCAGCTTGCTGCACTTAAACTTACTAATCCGTTGGGCTATGTCGGTCACTCTGGTTCTACTGCGGATATCCTCATTTATCAGTTTATCACGCAGAGAAACCCCAAGCATAGCCCTCTGAAAAGCTCGCTGAGCGATCTTGAGTTTCCTCATACGGCCGGCAGTGAAGGACCACGTCCATAAGTCATCACAGGTAACACGCACTGGTTGTAAAATCTCGTTTTCAAGTTTTGAGATATACCTGAAGACAAGATGTGTCGTAATTTCCCGAACGCTGCTCAGTAAGTTGAATCCGTCGATTGACCTCTCGGACGAAGTTGGACTTACCTAGTCGAACTATTGGTCCCAGGTAAATATACTCATCAACAACTTAGAGGTTAGTGCTCCCAACAACTACCGGCATAGGTGTGACATGGACGTTACACGTGATCTTTATTTTGTCCATGTTCATCTTCAGACCTATCCGTTGGGAGGCACTATCGATATCATTGAGCATACTGCTTAGGTCCTGCAGCGATTTTGCTTTGATGACTATATCGCCGGCAAATCGAAGGTGAGTGATGTACTCGCCCTTGATGTTAATACCGTATCCTTTCCAGTCCAGTATCTTGAAAACGTCTTCCAATGTAGTGGTGAAGAGTTTCGGGGATATAACGTCACCCTGTCTTACACCTCTCTGCAGTTGGATGGATAGGTTGCGTACTCTGGTTTGTACTCGGATAGCCATCGTAGCCCTACTGTTAAAACATTTCAGTAATTCGATATATAGTCAATCAAACGGCACCGCTGAAGGGACTGCAGCATCAACCAAATTTCGATGGAATCAAAGGCTTTCTCATAGTCCACATACGCAAGACAAAGAGGCAGATTGTACTCCCAAGTCTTCAGTACAATCTGCCGAAGGGTATGTATGTGGTTTATGGTGATAAAGCCTTTTTGAAAACTGGCTTGTTCGGGAGGCTGGAAGTCATCGAGTCTGCGTGCGAGACGATTTGTAATGACTCTCAAAAGCAACACTCAGACGGGGCTCAGATGGGACATCGGTCTGTAGTTCTTAAAGAGAGCGTTGTCGCCTTTCTTAGAGAAAAAGACCACCGCACTTCTGCTCTACGCCTCCAGTGTAGTGCTATCATAGAGAATGGAATTAAAGAGCTTCTAAAGGGCTTCAAGTACCGGTGTTCCACATGCTTCGCTGTAGTTCCATCCTCGCCTGGGGTCTTGCCGTTTTAAGGTGGTGGAGAACCATTCTAATCTCCTTCAGATTGACGTCCGGAATATCATCTCTCAGCCTCAACAGTTGCTCTCGGTTCATTGCTCACACTTGCGTGTGCCCCTTACGATGATGTTTGCAGCTGCCTACAGAACCTCTCTGTTTCATTCAAAATCTCAGGTATCCCGGAAACAATGCTGCCACACTCGGTCTTCAGCTTCGACAGTTGGCTCTTTCTGGCAGACAGATGTCTGGTGGAGACTTTGATGACCTGGTTCCGCTTGAACGCTTCTTCAATACGAGCTGTATTAAAGTTGTGTAAATCGCGCATGCAATTGGAGATCTGTCTCTTCCTTTTTTATGAGTTCAAAGTCTTAGTGATACGACCAAGGCGTTATTTTTAGCGGTACACAAGCAAACCTGTGCTTTTAGGGGCTTAAACTGGACTAGATTTCGTCGTCACCAATCCAAGACTTTGTTTAACAAAGTCTCGACTTCTGACACAAGTTTGATATGGATCTCCTTAACGTATACCTGAGCAATATTGGCACGGCCGGTGTAAAAAGCACCTATCATCCTCATCACAATGAATGTTACTTAGTGGTTTGCAACATATCATTGATATGTCGAAGGCACGGCGTAGGTGATAGCACGCAGCCTTGTGGTACGCCAGCTTTAAAAGGGCAATTAATAAGGCAGGCTTGCAGTCGGGGCATGCACCATCTACTACGACCTTGATGCTCTAATCTGCACAAAAACTGGTGGGAACTTTGGGAAGCCTATAGCAAGGAATCTTTGAAGGAACTGCTTTGTGACAAATTCAATTGAAGGCTTCCGCTATATCCTAACTAACTAAAGCCTCCCCCTTGGATTCTAGTACCTCCGTCTATATAGGAGTCAGGTAAATTAGAATATCGAAAATGACTAAGAAAATATACACTACGCGAAAAGAAACGACACTTAAGCTTGTGTGTACGTAAAATCGCTTGCGGCTATGTGTGGGTGTCTGGATATGTGCGGAGATCTTGAGAGGCGTGCGGGGCGTGGAACGGGCCGTCGCCGACTGCCCTGGTCGAGGGCTACCACGTAGTAGTTCGCGTCTCGTCTCTCTAAACTCGCACACCGCACGCGAGCACGGACTGACTGTGCTTTATACAAAAATAATGCCTATTCATTTGTATATAATTATTCTACCTTTATTTAGTTACTATATTTGTTTATATGTATGCCACATTTATATTATATATAATAGTTTTAAAGTATATATTTGTACTTTTATATATTTATATTTATAAAAATATATATTTACTAGCTGGCCAGGCAGACGTTGTTCTGCGCTCTCCGACGACCCTGTGTCCTATAAAAAAAAAATTGTAATAAAAAATATTGAGGGTCACCTATAGGGATAAAATCTATCCTATCTCCCAAGTTGGACCAATCTGCACACAGTGTGCAAAATTTCATTGCAATCAGTTTAGCATTTTAGGAGTTCATCGCGGACAAACAATGTGACACGTAATTTTTATATATATTGATGATATGTATATATATATACATATATATTAATATGTATGTATATATTTATCTTATCTATGTGCTTATATACCATTCTATATTTCTATTTTATGGCTTTAATAAAAATGATGTTATTTTTGTCGCCACACCACACACGTTTTTATTGTTTTCTTGCAATCCTGTCCATCCAAATGTTGTCTGGAAGAGATCGCTCTTAGCGATAAGACCACCCATTGTACCACATTTTGGCAAAACCTTATTGGCGGTCTCTAATTAGCTGATGGTCTTTAAGATACTGCAGCTGGCAGTTTATAATGGAATCCATTGTTTCAGTGAACAAGGAGGCGAAGTCTAGGCCCGGTAGCTTCCTCTTATGACGTGATACAATTTCAAAAGAAAATTACTAAACTATGACTCCGCTGGGAGCTACAGATGATAAAATAAAATTAT